CAGAGCGTTGCTCTGGAGACGAGCACCGTTTTCACCCCCCCCCTCCATTCCAGTCCATCACACTCTGGGACAAAACTACAGACAAACACTGCAACGCTCTTACCTGCTGGCTTCAGATGCCTCTCTCCTAAGTTGAGTTCCACAGCTGTGCTAACTAGGATCCCAATTGCATTGCTGTCCAGCTCTGATCCTCTGTAGTTGGCTATTCAGAGAGAAGAGGAAAAAGATATGGTATTTTCTGGTGGACAATACTGACAGCATGACTGCTATGAGAACCTCTCTGTACTAGAAGAAACAATCTGATAATGCCATAATCTATTTTTATGGTTTCATGAAAAGCTGTTCCTGCCAATGCTTACTTCCCAATTCACCTTGAAAACAAAATGAAAGGTTGCTTCTTCCATTCTGCTATCTAGTAATTAAGGTCTTAAGCTATGCCCATTGCTTCTGATGTGTATGGTAATCGTATCTTACCTTATCTTACCTTATCTGTCTAACTTGCCCCAATTCTAACAGACTCAGGCCACAAACATGATAAAAATTAAATATGCGTCATAAAATATAAACAGATAAAACCAAAGCAATTTATTTCCTATGTATCCTATGCCCCCCCACGCCCCAGCATAGATTTGTGTATCAGAGATTCCTAATAAAATATGGTAAGAGTTTCCCTATACGGCAGTGTTTCTCAACCTTAGCAACTTTAAGGTATGTGGATTTCAAGTCCTGGAATTCCCAAGCCAGCATGCAAGTCAGCTATGACCAAGAGCTTTGTTGCTATCTTCTGGAGCTTCATACTTATAAAGACTATCCAAACTGAACATAGAGCAAAATTGCCTAGAGATGGTCTGTAAGATTGTACTTACGATCTCGGTAAGGTGGCTTAAAGATATAGCCTTTATTATCTAGGCTCCTCCGATAAAAACTGGCATTGAAGGGCTCTCGGTCTTCTTCCCAGTCTTCAGCAGCTCTTTCACAGAAATCAACCACACCCATAGAATGTTATCAATTTCATTTTTTCACAGAAGTAGGTCCCCAAATCAAGTACACTCATACAAGTCAGTATATGATTTTTTAAAGGGGCAATCTGCTCTTGAGACTGCAAAAATCCAGATGTTCGTCAAACACGTTTCCTATAAATTTTTCAGTATGTAATGAAACATATATTTAACCCATGAGACTATAAGATGGCAATAGAGATAGGTCAGTGTCATTTGATGAAGATTATAGAATTGCCTTTTAAAAATGAGGACTGAGTTATATTATTTGTTTTAGAAAGTTGCAGAAATTCACCAAAGTAAATCCTACCAATTTTTTTTTACTGGAGCCATAAAATAATTTTCATTTTGCATAGAGCTGAATGCTTGACAAATCTGTTATTTTTGATTTTCCAAGTATATGAAATATCAGGATATTTATGAAGTCCCTAGAAGGCTGCATATGATTTGGGGAGTGTCAAGTAATTTTATTGCCTGCCACTCGGCATTTAAGGCAATGTCTAAAATCACAAAGGTAGTGGTTAAACATAATTGTTTTGCACATCAAGAGCATCTTTCCTTTGAACCCATGCAAATTCAGCTACATTAAATAACTGAATTTAACTAGTGCAAATCAGTAAGAATATTCCTCTGAAGATAGTAGTTAATAATGCAAATTGTTTTCTCCTGCAGGATACAAGTTGCAATAATCCCATAATTTAGGACAGTTCTTCAATATCATATCACATTCAGATATCCATGAGTTTGTTTGTTTGCTTTCTGGTTAGGAGACATTCTTGCAAAAACAAAAGGCTCCTCTTTAAGAGACATAAAGAGGAAATAAAAATGTTTGGCCTCATTAGATGTCAAAGATCAGGGGTAGGAAACTTTTTAGAATGCTGCATTTCTTCTGTGGTAATCAGCCTGGGGCTGCTTCTGGTGAATGGGGCCACCAATTTTCTCTCTCCTTTGGCCTACTCAGAAGAATCTGGGAAGTGGCTTTGGCTATTGGGCAGTCACAAGATAGACAGTACATGTAATTCTATGATGATTTTCAGAGGACAAGCTTGGATTGTGCAGAAGTTGTTTAATCTTTCTTTCTATCTGTACACAGATGCTTATGGATCACAATGCCATAACAACAACAACAAAACACTTACTTGTTAGGGAAAACACGGGTGATGCCACCATCTGTGGCAACGAATACAGCTAGGAGGCTGTATCTGCAATAAGACAGAAATCAAAGAAGTTAGAATTTAGGAATAGAGTGACACACTCAAAATGTCCCTCCTTCCCAATGTATCATTGTAAAAAGGTTACATGATAGTAAATCCATCCTCCTTTCCTCCCTTCCTTTTTTGCTGCAAGAGGATCAACAGGTATCTCTCTAGAAATTTTAACATATGAGCAGTCATTATAATGATCATATGTTAAGCAGGTTTCCAATGTGCAGTCTTGGCTCATACACAGCACAAAACCTTAACAACAGTCACTCAATTGTACCTATTCCTATTCCTACTATTTATAGATGATTAATTTATATTGTTACTGAACAGGAAGTAAAAAGGTATCATGACTACATCAAAACTGAAAAAACAAAAACAAAAATAATCCCAAATCTGAAAAAATATTGTTAATATTGTAAAATGGTAATTTGCCATCAGGTTTTCGGCTGTACGTTGCATTTTTGAGTGTCAAAAGCAGCAAGACTGCAGGGGACTTAAGGGTTTGCACCAAAGGCAGCAATCCATGAATTATTTTATTAATTTATTTATATATCAAATTTATATCACCTTTATTTATTTTTAAATATTATTAAATTTATTATCCACTCCTTGATGAAGAAAACACTTCAAGCCCCACATTAGCGCTATGCAAATAAGCACAATTAAATGACCTGGAGATCCAGATGAAAATGAATGTAGAAAAATCTGTGCCAAAGCAGTGAAAGAAGTGCTTTGCACTGTGCAAGAGGGTGTATGAAATACCACTCTTAAAGTGGCTGTATGTTTTCCAAGGTTCTGCGCATGCTTCATAAGGTGCTTCCAGCTGTTTCCGTACTCTTCACAATACAGCTGAGCTTGCACACATATGAGGAGACAGTTGGAAGCAGCTTATACAATAACTAGGCAAGCCTGGATAAAGATGCAGTTGTTTTAAAAATTCTAAAAGAGAGATATTTCATATGTGCGTTTGCAGCTTGTGAACCACCTCTTCAAAAGGATTGGCACAGCCCCACCCACCATTAATTTTCAACATGGTCTCCAGGCCATTTAATTTACCCTATATTAACAAAGCTGAAAGCTTCACATTGCCATGGAAAGACAGCCTTACAAAAAGAGGTAATTAATCTGCTCCCAACTGAATCATGTTCTCATGAGGGGAGCCAGAATACCACTAACATGTCTCAGAAATTTTATTTACGTGCTTAGATCTTGATTCTTCCATACTGTTTCCACCAGCTGTTGTGTGATCCCAGTGTCCAGGATAAGGTTGTGAAGAAGGAAGTTATCACCTTAACAGAAAAAAACAAATGTTCCAAAACCAGAAGTCTGTTTGTAGCCACAAGAATTACTCCACTTGCCATTTTACTAGCAAAGGGGCAGGTGAAGGCAATACCGAATTTCTGCATTCATTATTCACTAACTTGGAGTTAGGATGCCCTGGTCTAGATACTTAGCACTATTACACTGCCTTTTTTTTTTTATACTTTTCTCAATGTTTTCAGAAACTCTTCTCAGTACTGGAAGTCAGCCAGCTCAGGTCTGTGGCTTTTCTTGCTATTCCAATTTGGAGATGGCAAGTAATGTATTTCTGTAGTTTATGCATCCAGAAACAGATTCCTAGAGTGCTCTCATTTTGGGGGGCCACACTAAGTGTAATGAAGAAAAAAGCAAACTAGAACACACTTTTATATCTGACAGATATAGAAGGGGATTGGCTAAACTACTTCTCTTGGAAAGCATACTTTTAACACCTGAAGGCTATCTGATCAATGCCTATCCATAAAGGAAGGGAATCCCGTGGCTTCTGTGTCTCATTTGCACAGTTGGACTACTTTAAACTGAGCAATCAAGCTGGCTATATAATATAGGGTATGTTTTAATGAAGTACATTTTGTCATAAAATCAGAGAGCTCTAGCCTCTTTTGAAATGTGACTTCATTCAAACCAGATCAAGCTTGAAGAAGCCCATTGCCTGTTATCAAACGTGGGATTGGCAAGCAACATTACCAAATGGCTGCACACTTTTCTAAAGATAAGTCCCATTGATCCAATTTGGGCTAGCTGACTAGATATGCACAGGGCTGCATTATAACTCTTAACTGTGGTGGCTAATCATTTATACCAGCCTTTCACAACCTAGTATTCTCCAGAACTGGCCCTAGTGGTTGGGAATTCTGGGAGCCATAGTCCAGTACACCTGGAGGCTGCTAGATTGGAAAGGCTGATTTATAGCTTTGTCTTATGAAATCCATCTAACCCTTAAGGTGACAATTCCCAGATACAAAAGAAATGTATCTTAATCAAACATAAACATACAGCTTTGTTTCAATAACCTAGTTTTAGCAAACCTTGCCCCATTTGTATCTTTAAAAGTAAAATTCATCCAGTATAGTACTGCTTAGTAATGGATTTCCCTGGATTCTCTCACTCACAACACGCTGAGCCCTCCTTGAGATGAGGCTTTGTGTCCACCACAGGCCTTTGGGGTACTTACATTGTTTGGAGTCAGGCGTCACCTTTTCCATGAGGGCAATAAAGTTTTCCAGGAATTCAGTGTTGTTATCCGACAGGTTGAGGTCTTTGCAATATTCTCTGGGTTACGAGGAAAAGATTTGTCGATTGGAAGGATGAAAAAGCTACGGTTAGTTTCCTTTCTCTCAGAATTGGCCTAATCATGTGCTCAGCACAGGTGAAGCAGCTACTCAGATTTATTGCTGGGTATGGTTAAGACAAGGGAAGTGGGAAATGTGTGGAGTTATTTAATGAGACATATCCTCACCACTGCCACCTCTGCTCAGAAACATGGTTTTGGGTTTGATGCGCAGGGTTATGTCAAGTGTAATACATTATCAATACTTCAGGCTACTTGGCCTTTCTTTTTATAGATGTCTTAAATCTGTGTATGGGTAGGGAAAGAAATATGTGTAAGGATCTGAAGTATTTCAAATCTAATCTCTGTATGATATATACTAGTGTGTCTTTGAAGGTGGGGGAGAGTGTACGAATGGGTTTCATGCTATGGCTCACAGTCTGCACAGAAAAGCTGTTATTTGGCCTTTTCTCACTGATGTTACAGCACCTCTCAAGAGTAACCAGAAGACTATAAAATAATACAGAGTCAATTTATGAAAGAGCAGTAGGGAGCCTTTGGGAATTTATTGGCCATGTAAAAACCTGTGGCATACACTCTTTTCTGTTATTCACTGATGTCATAAAATACCATCTTAATGGTTTCTTAATACCACCTAAAGCACAGCACACAGCACTGAGTGGAACTGTGCATCACTGCCTTTTCAGATTTCTGCAATAATTGTGCTCCTCTATTCCTCTAAGAACTTGGTAGCCTATTTTAATTCCTCCAGGGTTTGTAGCTTAATTAAACTATTGGTCTGCTTTTGTGAATTTCTACAGACATCAGTCTTTACTGTAATTTTCAATATGATCCTTATATAGAAGTGTGACCGTGCTAGTTATAAAAAGCTTCTATTTTTACCAAGTATTGGAAAATAGTCTTGTTTCCTTCCTTACCTACCCTTTCTTTTAGCTTTGATTGTAGGTTTCACAATGATATTTGGGGGGGGGGGGAAGCAACACTTTAAAAAGGTGGATCTATTAGATAAGCAATGGGATCCCTCAGGGAGATGCTAAGGATGCAGATTTGATATTACTGACCTTATGGTAGCTGGTCTCTCTAAAGCAGCAATGGGGAGCTTATGGATTTCCAGATGTTGCTGAAATAGAATCCCCTGAACCTGAGCCAGGATGGTCAGTTGTAAGGAATGTCAGCAATGGAGGTTCATCAATATCTGGACCTCAGAGAGCCTCATACTGCCCACCGGTTCTCTAGAGGGGGCAGCAGACATTCTAGCTGTGAATATTATTTTGTTTTATTCTGGTAATGTGATTTGATGGCAGGGAACAAGTGAACATTGGTAATTTGGGACACAGGTAAAATTCCTTACTGTCTCCTAAATGGAACTACCTCCTGGCCTCTTTAGATAGTTTCTGAAGATTCTATGTAGCCCCAAATAAACCATATTAAAAGACACGAAATAAGCAGTAGCTATCTCCAAGCAAAAGAGGTATACAGTAATACCTCGGTTCATGAACGTGTCTGTTCACGAACAATTTGGTTCACAAACAGCACCATTTGCAAAATTTTGCTTCCGTTCGCGAACTCCGCATCAGGTGACGAACACGACCCGTGGCCATTTTCCCTGCTCTGACATGTGCTTGTGGCTTCCTGTAGGCTAGGGGGACTCTCCCTCCAAACAATAACTGCCTCCCCACCCGCCTTCCTGTCCTCCACGCCAGAAGTCGCCTCAAGCAAGGTT